ATTTGTATTTGTAATGATATATATCAAAATAATATTTTTAAGAGAATATTATTATTAAAATTATATTTAATAATATTATATAAATATAATATGAATAATATTATATAAATATAAAGAAGAATTTGAAAATAGTACAACTTTTGTACTATTTTCTTTTTAAATAAGTAAAATTTTTTAATAACGCACATATAAGTAATTATGTGCACAATATAAGTGCATATAATTATTAATCAAATTTACTGAATTTTCTTCTTAACTTCTTCTTAATTTTTATTATTAAATTATTATAATAAAAAAATGATGTAATGAATAATTTTTGCCTACAGATCAATTCTGATATAAAAAGCAAAATACAAAATAAATTTAAAATTCGTTTCTTTTTAACAAATCTAACTATCTATATTCTTTTTAACAAATCTAATCTAATTTTAACAAATTTACTATCATTTATTATTTACTTATATAATTTAATTTCACTTCTTATATATATATATTAGTAAATTTTTTTAATTTTATATTATTTTATGTGTGAAATAACAAATTATTATAAGAAAATTAAAAAAATTATTTATAATTATATATATCTTACTTCGGAATGTTACATACCAGAAAAAAAATGTGATATGTACTTAAGACATACGAATCTATTATTAATAAAAAAAAAATTGTTAAAAAAATATTATAAGATATTATAGTATGTTGATTTCAAAATGATTATTTATGAATAGTTTTATTGATATAAAAAAAAAATTAAATCAAAATTTTAAAAATATAGAATAAAAAGCAAATATAAATTTCTAAATATTATAATAATTTTTATACATATTTTACTATAATATATTATAACATTCTATCATAATACATAAACTTTATTATTTTGTGAACCTCATATAATATATCCAAATATTATAGATAATTATAATTTATTTGTCATATGTATTTATATCATTTTTGTTTATATATTTTTAAATTAAGAAAAAAGAATATAAACTTTTATTTTATATTATTTTATATATTCATCATAAATATATTTCACCAAAAAAAATTAAAATAAGTTTTTGTTAATAATACAAAATATTTAATTTCTTTAATAAAAATAATTCGTCTTTATATATTAAAATGAAAATTTTTTTCAATATTGAATAGATTTAATCAAATATATCTTATGTTTATACAAATTCAGTTTCTATAAGTACTTTTATTAATATTAATAAATAAAAAAATAATTAAATGGATAAAAATTCATAAATAATATATTTTTTCTTATTTTAAATTTTAATAGATTACATTTTTTATTGTTTTATTATTTTTTACAGATTGGCAGAGAGCAGTAAACCAAAGATATTTGAAGAATCAAGTGAAGATGAAGAAGAAACTGAAACTCTTGAAGAAAGAGGTAAGGAGTAATAAATTATACATTTTTATTTATAAACATAAAATTTATATTTTAATTATTATCAATTATAAAGGCAATATGTATATTTAAAATTTGATTATAAATTAATTATTATTAACGTAATTATTTTATTGAAATAATAATTAATCTTAATTTTTATTAACATGATAATATTAAACATATTATAAAGAATAAATAGTTTTAATTAATTAAAAAGAGAAAAAAATTTATTAAAATATGAGTAACAAAACAATTTTAATATATGTACAAAAATTTTAGAAAAACGTAAAGCATTTGAAGCAAAGAGAAAGCGTCATTATCAAGAGTGGCAAGTAGTTCAAATGGCTAGAAAACAATTACTTGAACAAGATGAGGAAGATGAAGATGAAGACAAGGAAGATAATGAAGAAAATGAAGAAGGCATACAAAAAGATGACAATATTTGTCTTCCTTCTGAAGAGCAAATTAATTTTAATGTTAAATTCAAATGTATGTCATCTTGTAATGTGAAAAAAGGAAAATGATATGGCGAAAAACACTTTTAAATAATGTTATAAATTACTTGATTAAAATTTAGAATTCAGTTATCTAACATTCTTAATTGATGTTAAATTTATTTACTATAATATAAAATTAAGAACTAAATTAATCAAATATAATGTCCATCTTAGATTATCTAAATAGTTAAGTCAATAAATTTTTCTAATTAATCAATTTTTCCATGATTTACATATTAATTAATGTAATTAATTACACAACGAATTTATAGTGAATTTATAATTAATTAATTGCGTAATTAATTGCAAATATATATGAATAAATAATTAATAATTACATAAATATATAATTATTTATTTTCAATGCTTTAATAATTAAATATCTACTAATTAAATACTTGATTCAAATCAGTTTGTTTAATTTTTTATTTTTATTTAGTTTTTTTGGAATAATATAGAATAATAAATACAAAATCACATGATTTCAAAGATATAAATAAATTTTTTTAATTGAACAAAATTATAATATTAGTTTTATTGATTATTAACTTTTATTATATTATCAAAAAGAAATAA